TTTCACTCTGTATAAATATTGCCACATATTCGGAGAGTGAATTGCAAGACGAATTATACGACGTTCTGCAATAAGCTTTAATTTACTTATCGAGAAATTCTCCTACCATAGGTACTAGGAAACATTTCAAATTGATTGCCAAATAAAAGTTTGAAGTCCATCTTAGTTAGCAATTTATTACGTTGTCGCCAAGCTCAGCATGTTAAAAACAATTGCACCACAATATAGTATATGAAGCTTGCAATAATCGTTTTTTTTGTTTTACTATTTTATTTAATTGGCGTATGTTCGTTAACTACTTGGGTGCACCTAGATATATTGCAAGGTGAAAACATACATGATAACTTAGAAATTATCATATCTACCAATATAAACATAATTTTTGGTATAAGGCGTACAAACCGCACCAAATAGAAATTATTAAACGCTAGTTGTTGCCCTTTCGTATTTTTACTCCTCAAAAAGTCACGTGTAACTGCTTTCGCTTAAATATTTTGGTGTTTTAAAATGCCAAATAATTTCCGCATAGTCTGTGTTCGTCACGTCATATAATTGCGGTAATCATAAATGTCCAATTGTCAGCCGTCCAAGTCCAAATTAGTTGATGATATTTTAGGAATTTGCTTTTACTGTTTTTGGCTTTAAATTTAGCATATGTCTGCTCCATGGCGTGCGGCCTTTTATTGCTGTTTATCTTTCTATTAACAGCGTGTTCATGTTGAAACTGAAAAACAGGAGGGGCGCAGCCAATTACAGGCGTAGTATTATAATGCGCTATTCAGAATATTTTAAATAATAGAGAACTTTTCTTTAAAAATATAGGTCACACTCGTACGTTCAATCCTACTTACCTGATAAGCCATCAACATATAATGTGTGCTGCAGCGAAACAAATAAATTTACCTCCCAGGATTTGCTCATCAAATGTGATGTGAATCTGTGAAAAGCTTCTATGACAGCTGATTTAAATTACTCTACTTTTTTTTGAAGTTGCCTCATACAAAAAAAGAAACAGATCAGCTTCTTAAACACGACTTCAAAATTATTAGCAGCAGAAGAAGTCTCAAGTAGTGGTATGAGCGAAGAACAGCATTGATTCAGACAAAATAGATCGACCATAGACGCTGTATTCATTTTAAGACAGATTGCCGAAAAGGCCAGAGAGTACAATATGTGGCGAATTTTGTTTGGCAGTTGTCTATTGTCTGCAAGTCTATAAACACATGTTACGCTATAAAACGACGTATTTTCTTGAATAACAGAGATAATGAAGTAAACCAAAAAAGAAAATGTTGGCGAAAGTTGGAGCTACCTTCAAACGTCAAATGTTACATGTTCTGGTTTGCTAGTATACTCGACAGGGTGATACGATTTTTCGGAAAAACACAAGATTTTTATTACACCCGGTATAACTGTAAAATGACCTTTTTATCATTATCAGCTAAAACTATGATATTATCAAGGAACCAGCCTACAATTTTATGACGTTGCGTTAATTTTGTTCAGGAATTTATATGAGACGTTTTAACTTTTGTGAGTAAATAATATCTGATGACGGGTGATGGGTACGCACATGTTTGCCGAACCAATATAATAACCATTTCTGCACCCATTTAGTCGGATGTTTTGGTTCATTATCCCGTTGAAACATATAACGCCCCTCTATTGGCCCCAATGTTTCAATATTAGGCGTGAATTGTTTTTTTTTTCTCCACCTATAGCTCATCGACTATAGGTTTTGCAATATTCATTTTTTACTCATATTTTGTAGTTGACCACCTTTGAGAAGTAGGTAGTTTCCTAACCAAGAATGCTTCTTCACGAACAGTTATTTTTTTACTACCCGAATAAAACTTTATTAAGAAAGTAAAAGATTGACAAAAAATATTTAATAGGAGAAGACTTTTTTGATGGAGGGTACACTTACTCGGTTTCTGCGTCATTTCATAGGCAACATTTTTCATATTCATTATTTACACACAACTAATAATGACAATAAAGCGAGCAATAAGTTTTAGTTTCACAGTATGGTAAAAGATATATCAAGAACACTTTAGGAAAAATGAACAGAAATACAACGAAATTTTAGTTTTATAATTTTTCTAATCTAGATTTTAAAAACGCAAAACTTCAATATGGCGTGCATAAAAACTAACGCCTATACTATTTTTGGCGTTTCGTAAATCGTCGTGTATTATTATACTTAATATTCTGATTTTGTAGCTCCCAGGTGTTCCAAGCACATTTTTGATACGGGAGACGCTGCATTTAAAGCTAATCAGAGTTTTCCCAATGCAATTGGGAATAAACAGATTAAGACCAATGCTCGCTCATTTCTTTTATTAATGAACATTGCAATTTTTGTTTAGAATTATTCTTTTTTAAGGCTCTAGCTTGAAAAAACGATTTATAACAAATTCAGTATTAATATACTTTTAACTAAATATAAATATGAGCTTCGTGTTGTGAAATCGCCGTGAATATATTTTGTTACGTTGATTTCAATTTTCGTTTGAGAAAAACGTGTGGCTTGGAACTTTAGATTCGGAAAACATAGTCGACATTTTAACATTCAACCTTTGCATTTATTGTCTTTTGTTTATCGAATTTATTTAGTAAAAGTGTTCCGACAAATTTGTGCGAAAATGGTTGTGGCTTTTTGAAACAAGACTGCTTAAAAGCTTCTTCTTGAAACATTACTTTGCATCTAATTTGAGAAACCGCCTATATACAGGGTGGTGCAATAAAGTGACAGCTGCCACACATAGATTAAATAGTAAGTGGGGCATACTGCATCTCAATCCCTTGGTGACATTTATCGGTGGTGAAAGTGTCTGTCCATTTTTAATCTGCACTGTGTTGTCTCTGTACATTTCTATAATAATCTGTAACGTATCATAGGCATCTTCTAGACATATAAATGGCAAATGCAATTCCTTATCTACTGTTATGACCTTTTCTGCCAGCTGTTGTACAATTTTCGCCAACTCTATGACCGATGTTCTGCATTATTTTATCATTTAGGACTTTATTTATTATATATATTAGAAGTTAGCAAGTTCGACTATCTAGTGTAAAAACACAATTCAAAAGAAACTTTGAAAAAATTCAATTTAAATCCTCTAAAGCCAGGAGTTACATTTATTGGTCATATTCTGATTTAAATTTGATTTTCAGATTCTTCTTCGTCTTGCTTTTCTTTGTTATGCACTTTTTATTATACAAATGAATTGATATAAATTTTAGAAGTTCGTGTTTTGACAGGTTTCTTGTTTTTATTTTATTGCATTACTTTTTATATATGTATACACTATTGTACTGCTGCCTTAAATGTTAAGTGTTCTGAGTAAATTACTTCTTATTACACGAAAAATTACTATGCAGTAGTTATAGTTTAGGTAAGCAAGTGTCACTTTAATTTCGCCTCTTGGAATATATATACAGAGTTTTTCACTTAAAACTCCGCACGCCAATAAGTCCAAAACGAAAAGAAATATTTAATTTATGTGAAAAGTAGTCAAAGTGTGGGGTCAAGTAGATATTTCCTAAAGTTTAAAAAATTCGACGCCTGCAAAGAGCTGGGCGTCGCGACGCGTTGAAAAATTATTCGATTGCAGAGACTTTGTAAATACGCGCATACAAAAGTACATATTATTTAAAAACTTTTTTGTTATTTACTCAAACTTATTTACTTTACCCGTTTCTAAGTTATACCGATTTAAAGTAAACATTTCTTGATTAATAAAAAATGTGATTAACGCTTATTTTTACAAGTATGCCATGAATGTTAGTTACTATGGCAACCATTGTTATCGCAGTTGTTTTAAGTGCAATTACAAACGTAAGTTGTTATTGCTGTATCAAAAAATTGTCACATTTTGTCACAAGAAATATCCACACGAGTGTTCGAAGTGTTTTCGGAGCGCGAGCATTGAAGATGCCAAGTGAGATTTTGGCGAAACGTCTGCAAGATTCCAGTCGGATGCAGGATTTGCAGGATTCCAGTCGGATGCAGGATTCCAGTCGGAGTTCAACGAGCGAACGGATGATATCCCGGAGTATAGTGTCATCACATTTTTCCATCCGTGAATCAATACGTGAGAATATATATATATATATATATATATATATATATATATATATATATATATATATATATATATATATATATATATATATATATATATATATATATATATATATACATATATATATATATATATATATATATATATATATATATATATATATATATATATATATATATATATATATATATATATATATATATATATATATATATATATATATATATATATATATATATATATATATATATATATATATATATATATATATATATATATATATCCTTAGGACGTATTCATAAGAAATTCACTTTATTATTGTTATTATATTATTACACATAACTACATTGTCCAATGGAATAAGGTAATTAAGTATAATAAATAACACAAATGTTTTAAATTTTAAATTAAATAATTATTTGTGTTAATCGCTTTTTACACGTAAAAAACAACATTCAAAAACTATATAATATATAATAAAGTGAATATCAAAGAGAAATTGTAATTCTCAGAAACGTAAGCCTAGCGCAGATTTGTTGAGCGAATAATTTTTGTTTTCGATTTTCACATTTCCCTTCTTTTCCATTAAAACAAAAATTGAAGACTTCTGTTAGTTTATAACTTTTAATTTTTTTTCGTATTGTCTTATTTGTTTAATATTACTAATATTAATATGCTTAGTTAAAATAAAAGTTTTTGTGACGATTCCAATTATTGTAATTATTAATAATAAAAAAACAGAGCGCCATCTCTAAACTTCGTACATCACGCAGTACGTTCAGCAGGGGCAAACAAAAAAAATCAAAAGGAAGCTGTGGCGGGAACACAGAGAGAGTAAAGTGGGATCATAGCAGGCACTTAGTAAAAACAAACGAATATCGGAGACTGCAGACTCGAAACGTCAAGCTCGCGGAGCAGCAGCAAGTACCTTGGCACAACAGAAGTACGCAAGACATCGTACTAGCCGGTAACCAGTCAATGTTAACGTTACTCCTTGGCATATTCGGTCTTGTCCGGTACTTGACACGCGAACGCACTTGTTTTCCCTATTAGGAAGTGAAGAAGAATCTCAGTGGACTTAGGCTACTCGATTCTTAACGCGAAAAACTGCGACAACAGCGAGTTTTCATTTGTTTTCGTTGGTGCGAACAGTAGCATCGCGTGACCTTGATTTAAGCCTAAGATTGTGTTATTAATTGTGCCTTGACTCGACCGTGTTTAGATTTAAATGGATCTACGAGCATCGGCTTAAGTAGTGTTTTTTTTTCTACGTTTTCGATCGGGTTCAATAGTAGCTGTGACGGAATGTGAGTACCGCGAGACAATTTTATTGATTTAATTATCATCAGTAAGTAATTTGAGTGTGACGAGACATGACGAATGTCAACAGAATCAAAGTTGTCGTGCTTGGAAGCTCGAGGGTCGGAAAATCCGGTAAGTAAATTACAATCAATAAGTTAACCTAAGTTTTGGATTAGCGGCAAATCATTGAAATATTTTACTCTCGAAAACAAAGCGAATTTATTTATAACAATTTGCAGTGAGTTAACGTGACATAAAGTAGATACAAAGAAAATTTTCGTATTACCAAGTAAAGAGGAAGTTCGCGACCGAATAATCCTGGTTCTGTTTTAAGTAGATTCACGTTGAGCGATTGATTCCGGTCAAGGTCGCAGTCGGTAGATAGTTGCATTTCATCTGGCTTACATAAACATTATTTTAGAGGTTAAGCTGGCTGTAAATATGTATTGCAATTTTTTGGAATAGTGGTGTTGTTAACGTATTCTATCGCTACTTGGTTTGAAAAACGTTTGAATGACCTTTAATAGAATTTGCAATCGATGGCTTACTCGTAACAGAAAGTAATAAAATTATTTCGATGTTAGTGGGATTTCAGGAACTCAAATATACATTAAGTAAAAATTGTTGTTTTTAACATGCAACGGGATTTTTGAATTGCAATTAGTTATTGTGCGCTCATTGTCTGATGCCAAATCCGTGGGTGCTGATAGAGTATCAGGAATTCCGTAATTAACTTCTAATAACCGTCTAAAAGAAAGTAATTCTTAAAATTGTATAGGGTGATGGTTCTGTAGAAGACCTTGGTAACTATAAGAGCTATTGGAAAATTTATTGTACATTCTTTTTCTTTTTTTTAGAAGAAATTGTTGAAAACCAGAACTTGCTATAGTCTTTTGTTTTCAAGTTATATTAATTTTTTTTTTTACAATTTGGATTCAGGTCAATAACTTTCTTGTTTGCAAGTTGGTAGTATGAAATGGCTATAACAGATTATAAATATTTTCGTGATTGTTGGAAAAAGTTGCATATGCAAAAGTAAACTGATCATTGAGACATTACTCTTCTTCTAGTAATCGTGAATGTCATTCAAAATAGTGTGCAAAAACGCCTGTCAAAGCCAAGGTCAAAACGTCAAAGTCGGATTTTATTGGGTTCATGGTGGTTTCTATGAATTGTTGTTAGAATATTATAGTGATCTTAGCCTATATTTTTTATTTATTGTTGTTGGCTAGAATAACTCTAATAGTATATATTATATACATAATTATAATAAATTTTTAATATACCCTCAAACCAAAAAACATTAGCCAGTCCTGACTTATAGCACTTATTACTGAGGTCTCCTATCGAAACATTTTCCCTATTTTCCAAAATAGCCATTTGATATGTTTTTTCTAGTATTGAAAATATGGTGGAAAAGCGTTTGAATCAAGAACAAAGTACAGTACGCGTGGTTTTTGGAAAATAGGAATTTTTTTAATACATTTGAATTTTTAGATTGCGATTACGACAATTAGGTTAATGTTATAACAGTGGTATTTTTAGCTTGCTTTTGTTGCATTGTCATGGCTCTTGTTATACAACACAACTATTTGGAGACTCTCGCTTAACAAGTATTTTGATACACTGTACACTTATTCACTTTGATAGGGTTTAAACACACATTAAGCTATCGTATGTAAATGGTTTTAATTTAGACGTATTTCCAAAAAGACTATAAAAATACAGGTCTTCCATGGCGCAATTTTTTGTGTGTTTATTTACAATTTTTTTTTGATACAGTTCTTGAAATCTACAGATTTAAATACAATGTATAATGTGACTATCTGAAGTGTCGGAAGTTCTGAATCTTCATATCTAAAGAAATTGAATGAACGTAAAATTGGTGTAACAAAAATATGGTGTTAATGTTTCGCATTTTCCGTAATTTTTAATTAAATAGGCGCGTTGTTAATTAATTGGTTAAAAAATACCAAAATATAATTTTTAATCTGGAGCATATATCCCGTTTCCCCTCCGTTTTTTATCTCAACGTTTCAGTATCGTTTGATTCATTTCAAACTGTTTGGCTTGATTTTAATTTTTATTAGTAAATTACTAAATTTGAAAACTGTTGATACATTTGGTGTCATTCGATATATTTTCTAATTTAAAATTTTGGGCAATTTATTTTTTATCCGAATATTTTCACTATTAATAACTTTTTCGTAACTGCAGTTGCACTACACTGATAACTGGAGCAGCCTCTTCAATATTGAATAATTTTCTATCAAAATAATTTAGAAAAAAAGAAGAGTATGAAAAATTTTGATTATTTTAACGAAAAATGTGTTGATAAATCGCAGAGGAACCTTACAATGCAACGTTCCATATTTCCATTTCAATCAACACCTCGTGTGTCGGTTATTGTTTTGCGCAATAAGCAAAATGCCAAGGCAAATGCATCTATCTAAATAATATTTTTTAACGGACAAGTTTCACAAAATACAGTCGCAAATGCGCCAGCCGCATTTTTATGAATTAAAGGAAAACCGTATATGGTATATATAAACCTATAAAATGCGGCTGTAAGTACCGGAAAAGACATTGACTATGCAAATACGCCAAATGACATGGTAATTACTTTATATGTTTATATAGAAAATCTGTAAAAAACGTTTTCGACTGATGACGCGTAAACCGTAGCCGTTCTTTGTTATAATATAAAAGGAAGTGAGTTCTGTCCGTCTGTCTGTTTCGAGTCAAAACTTACCTTAAAACATTGATTTCTTGATTTGTTTCTTATCTTTTCCAAGAAAAAAGTAAGTGTATCTATATCCTTTTCCTAATGTAAATACTGTTAACTTTCTCATACTTACGGTTACATCGGAAGTAGATGCTTTGTAATGCAATTGTCACATGATAGGTGCAAGCAAATTTATGTTTCAATCGGAAGTATGAGATTTTTGAATTCATTGTGTACAGTGTAGCAAGACTTTAAAAGCTTTAGGAAGACAATTTTTTAATATTGAAATTTTATATAAACATACACACATACATTCCTTTTTGCGACAATGCGGCAAAATGTTGTGACTTTTTGTGTTTTTCTTTTTTAGTTTTTTAAGGCAATTATGAAAATAATTAATATTTAGGTTTGTCAAATGTTTTTCAATGCCTACAGGGTGATGTAATTCGGGCTAGTTGATACTCAATTTGACCCTCTGTGAGGCTGTGCGCGGAAAAGTTGAATTTAACCCTTAAATTGAGCACCACCTCAAAAGTCTGTTGAGTTTTTGAAGTATACCAGCTCTACTAAATTTCAATTATTTTGAAAATCGTCGGAAGAGACGGCCTGTACCTCCAACGGGCATATGTTTTATTAAATTTTAATTTTTCAAAAATTCTCTTCGTCAATTTGCTAAAGTTCAGCAACAAAAAAAGGTATTTCCTTTTTTTTATTTTCTTAAACTCCTGGTTTAGTCGGAAAAGTAAATTTTAACTTATAATATCCAGCTAGTATGAACTGTTCTGTTAAAGTCTAACATAAAATACATACCGGGTGATACAGAAGGTCCACATTTTTCAAACAAAACAAATGAAGTTCATAATTTGTTCTTTGATTTCCTATATCTGTCATCACCAGCTTTTTATTGGAGGTTGTTGAAAAATTTCGTATATTTTTGTAATTATTCTCTAAATCTGTCCAGTAATATGCCAAAGACAAAAATATAAGTAAAAAGCAACAAATTGATATAGTAGGATTTATATTTGGGCTCGTCTTTAGGCTTTATTGGGAATAAATTGCCTTATGTCATATTTGTTATATTTTTTATAAATATGAATTGCACATCTTGACAACAATGTAATAAACTTCCAAAGATTTTTGACATATTTAAGATTGCTTAAAATTTCAAAAAAACTTGCTTTAAATTGCATCATCATTTTTAATAGAGATTGATTGCAAATATTTGTCGCGTTCTTCGTGGTTAATTTAAGGGGGAATGCATCGAATCTATTTGCTGGAGAGTAGAACTGGAGCGTTTCCGAATGCCGGAAAAGTCCCGTTATACGAACACTTTAATATAGTAAAATGTGGGGGTTTTCAGATCTTAAATCAGATTTTAATCGGCTTAAAACAGTGAAATCGATAGTGAAAGAGGAACGCTGGCGCGTTGCATTCTACTTATGCACTTATCCCGCGATTTACTATCTCAAACAACGAATTAAGGTATTGGAAACCGAGCGATGATAATTGTAATCGATGGAGAAAATATTGCTCAACAAATGTTGGCACTCGTGTGCGTCTGCAGCTACGATACGCATAGCAAGAAGCATTGACATTGTAATCATTAATACTTGCGCTAATTAAAATTTAAAATGTAGGTTATCTACAAGATTATGCGAAACAAATGTTTTTGACTACAAGTGAAGCTCCAGATTTTACGCCACTGGTGCAATTATCATTTTGGTACAATTTTTTGATTCTCCGATACTTTATATGTACGCTTCCGATTAAAATGCAAATTAAGGCAAATTAAAAGTTAATTCGTGTTAACAAGAAAGAATATCTACTGCAATTTATTTTAACTAAATGTGTTCAACATTTAAAAAACTATTTCTGGTCATCTAAATAAAAGCGCAATTTTAACAACACCAAAATATAAAAAAGAAACGCCTTTCGTCTAAGTGGATCGAGTTAAATCTTGATATTTTAAACTCAGGATTCTAGTGTATTTCAAATTATTAATTTTTCACCCTGTATATCCAGTAGATGTATGATTTAAAATTTAAAAATATGGTTACAAAGATGGAGATGAGATTGGGATGGCAGTACTCAAAGCAATTAATTTAAATAAAGGGTAATTCAATAAGAACGCCGGATTTGAAAAAGCTGTAACTTTACCATTCGCTTCAGAAAATCTTGAGGTTTGAAATGTAAAAAACAGTATCGGGCATATAATGGCCTTACAGGCAGTTATTCCGCCCATTTTTATATGAATGAAATTCACCATAACCCGATCATATAGTTCCAATCGGAGTTTGTGCTCGTAGACTTGTGATTTAATGTAACGCAACAGTGGAAGTGTTGTGACAAAAATTATTAATGTTCATTTGATAGAATTCGGTTCCTCTCGTTCAATTTCCACGATCTA